CCCGCCCCTCCCAGCGGGAGGCAGCCGGGGCCCCGCCCCAAAGCTGCTGAGACCTGCGGGGAACCCAGGCCGGATTTTCCGATGCGAGGACCCAGGCTCCGCCTCGGAGATTCTGTCCCTACCAGAAACCCTCTGCAAATTACCATCGCACACGCATAAGGCTGCCGGTCCCTTGCTGCATTTCGCTCCGGCATCCCCGGCTGCCACTCTGGGCCTCCGCGGCTGCTGAACCACCTTCCCTCCTCCCGAACTCTCCTCTGAGGCCTCCCAATCCCGCCAGCCCAGCCAGAAGCCGGAAAAGATACAGAACCTCACGAAGGTAGCGCTCAGCCCCGCCCGGGACCACCGCAGGTTCGCTGCTCAGCCCTGGTATCCAGTTCTGGCTCCTGCTCCTACTTCCCCAGCGAAAGAACGCGCTACAGATTGGCCACGGCCCCGCCCAGGAGGCCCCAGAGAGTGGGCTGGGTCGTTTCCAAGTTTTCCCAGGGCCACACTCCTCAAATGGGTCTCCAGTTTCGTCAAAAGACCCGCTACCCTGCCAGAGGGCGCTTTTGACCCTGGGGACAGATGTCAGTTGTTTAAATCCCAAAGATCAGTATATGCAAAATGAGGGACTGTAACCAACAGCCGGCCTTTCCCTGGCACATTTATTTAGTAGGCATTATCTGGTGCTTGCAGTACCATAGCTAACAGAACAGAAGCCAGTACTGAATAATCTCTAGAAGGGACACCCTTCCCGCCTTTTTATAATGGTAAGGTACAGTCAGTGTTGTTAGAAATGTGACAAAAAGACCACAGAGGAAGCAGTAGGAGCCCAAGGGCATGTGACACTAGAGGAAGGGGTCAGAGTGCAGGTAGGCTTTCATGGGGTCCCCCATAACCATCAGCACAGCACCCCTGCCAGGCTGGCAGGACCTCATCTTGTCTCCTCAAGCTGAACATCTGCCCCCCCCAGCCATCTCTTGAAAATCCCAAAAGACAGAATCTGTCAAGGCCTCAGTCACCTACTCGTGTACTTATTCATTCATTCATGGTACAGGAAGGCTTTCGATCACCTGTTAGGCAGTGGCAGAAGACCACTGGGTTCTGAGCTCTAGCCTGCCCCAGCTGTTATCATGCAATCTTGGGTAGCTAACTTCATCTGTCTGTTTTCCTTCTCATCTGTAACAGTGAGAGGGCTGGGCTGACTGGAGTCTAAGGCCCTCTGTCCTAATACTTTTATTTTACTTCTCTAGAAGGATTGATGGGTACAAAACAAACCAGATAAAAACAAGAGTAGCATTCATGAACTTGGGCTCCTTGGATTCCAGTCCCAGCAGGGCCACATAAATGTGGGACTTAATTTCTCTAAGTTTCATTGGTTTGCAGATGTAAAGTGGGAGAAATAATTATAATAACCTTAAAGAATGGTCATGAGCTTGTTGGGGATTTAGCTCAGTGGCACTGTGCCTGCCTCGCAAGCACAAGGTCCTGAGTTCAATCCCAGATACAAAAAAAAAAAAGAATGGTTATGAGGATCAAATAAGATACTTTGTACAAAGAAAGAGCTCTGTAGATACTGGCTGCGATTTTTGCCATTGTGGTGGATGAGTTGGACCCAGGCAGGAGTGGTTTCTCCTCTCCTGCTGCGTTATCATAGAACCTGCTGCTAAGCCCACACCAACCACTGCAGCACTTGGAGAGACATGATGGGCATCAGGACATATGGCAAGGGGTATGAAGGAAGAAGGAGAACCTGTACAAAACCAGATGGGCTGCGCGGTGGAGGAAGAGAAGACCCAACATCTCACCATTAAACACCGACCACACAGGTGTCAGGCTTGTAGCAAGTTCTCTGTAAAGATGAGTGAGAATGAATAGCAGAGGGCTGGGAATTTGTCCTCAATGCATGTGACACTGAAGACACTTTCCATGGGGACACTCATGTGGATTTGGGCAGGAGTGTCCTTGGCCTGGGTTGTCATCTCTGAACTACTATGCCTGTTACTATCTTTATGAATATGCTGCTAACCTACTATATCTTGTCTGGAAACAGGATCCAGAACAATAAAGGCAACAAGATGTCTGAGAAGCCCATACGGATGGAACTGTCTGGCAAAGTCAGGTCCTTTATCTGCAGAAGAGCACCTGGTGTCTTCTGCTGGACGCTACCTTCATCCATTGCACACAATTTCAACAGATCTGGTGCGGCAGAGACTGCTATGAGACCCCTGTATCCTTTCTTTCCCTTTTCCTTTCAGCAGTGGAGCTCTACAGGCTAGATCCTGCATCTGTGGCTACCCTGCTAGAAGCTTACATACCCCAGCCCTCTTCCAGCTGGCTGCAGCTGTGGCCAAAGTCCTAGCCAGTGGGATGGAACTGGAAGCAACTGTTAAAACAGAGCTCCCACCCTCTGCTTCCTGGTTTCTCTTTGTGAAGATTAGAGGGTGGACGGGAGGAGAGGGGAGGGCACTTTTATGATCCTGACTGGAACAGCTCCCTAGCCTGGGCCAAGCAACAAGACTGAGGAGGGCTCCACCGTTGGTAGTAAAGCTACCAAGTTCCTGGACCAACCCAGTGGGGAGATGCAGGGCTGCAGCCTCATAGCCCAGAGTGTCACTGATCCCTGGATAACCCTGGGAACTTGGCCCCTGATCTCTAGAAACACTCACCTGGGCTCACAAAGATGTGTAATACACCAGTGTAGCCATCACAGAATTGCTTCTACTTGCCCAAACCAAACACAATTTCCACATCTAGATGCCTACGGGTAGCCTCACATACTGCCGAGATGAGATATTTGTGACTCTCAGGATGAAGGGAAAAGGTGGGCAGGGTGGCCAGGAGAGCTGGCTAGGTGCACTTGTGCCTATCTCTCATCAGTCCCACTCTGATGATTGTAGGCTCATGGCAGGGAGCCCACACTAGTGTCCCCAACACCAAACAGAACAGAACAGAGCAGAACAGAAATCCAAACCCAAAATCACGACCCCAAAGCCCAAAGCCAGTTGAAACTGCTAGACAGGCATAAGCAGGGACAGTGAGCCTAGTAGTTGGAATCAGACTCTGCAGATTTTGCTACAGGATCCAGGATACAAACTTATGCCTCTGACTGGGACAGGATTTTCAAGGCTAAACCACATACTCTAATATCCCCTATCCCCAAGAACCAACTGAAGACTTGCTTAAAAGTAGGCTCATCTGGAGGGCCTGGGCTGCTACACGCACTATCCTAGCCTTCCGGGAAGAAGGGAATTTGATTTCCTGTGAAGACGGTGGAGGGGCAATGTATTGGGATGGAAGGCCATTCTGTCAGTGCCCTCTGCTGACTAGGCACGGGGCTGTGGGTTCCTAGAGAAGGCATCAGACGGAGATCTAGTTACCCAGTGGGAGCTGACGTCCCCCAGGTCGGCAGGGCAGAGAGGGGGCCCTGTACTCACTGTCCCATGACAGAGGCCTCCAGCCTCCCTTCTGCTCTCTCTGGCCTCTGCCTCAGGCTGGGCCCCACTCACCACAGCCCCTCCAGGTAGGCGCGTAGCCGCGGCCGCAGACACTTTGGCTGATCCTTCTCTCCCGGAAGAAGAGAACTGGAAAACCAGTGGCAGGTTGCTGCCATCCACCACCAACAGCCTCTTCCAATTATCAGTATTGGAAACGTCTGGTGGGTGATGTCAGGGACAGAGCCTGCTGACATCACAAAGGAAGCCCTCTGTCCTGGAACTCTGGGGACCCTTGAGGGGAGGGCTCTCGCGATCTGGAGTTGAGCGTCTGAGCATTTTCAGACAGGCTTGTGGGTAGGAACCTGTGCGGCATTATCTCAGTTCTGTCTGACCCTGACTCATTGAGGAATATCTGGGACCTTTTATTACTATTTTACTACAGCTGAAGAAGCCCCTTCACTCCAAGGTGATGTTTATGAAACAGAAACATGGCTTTCCTATGGGGTTTTTTCTGAGCCCCAAAATGACCCTTGCTCCATGTCCCCAGGTCCAGACTCTCAAAATCACTCTGCTGCACTTGTCCCACTGGGAGATGGCACCTGCTTTCAATCATGAACCTTTCCTTTGCTTTATAACCTTTAATAACTCTGTGACATACAATGCATGCACGGAAAGGCACGTACAAAGCACAAATGAGCACTGTCGTGAATAATCACTTGAATAGCCAGCACCCACCCAGCTCAAGGAAAACAACATTATCGACAGGAGCTTCCCTGAGCGGCTCCCCAGTCACACCCCCTTCCCTTCAGCCCTCTCCTCGCTATTCTGACTGTAATGGAAGTCCTCTCTTGCTTTGCTCTCCTCATTTACCAGCTGTTTTCGTGCCTAATCAATATGGTGTGGTTAGGTCTGTTTTTAAGTGTATTTTAATGCAGTCTGAGTATGTATTTTCATGTTGAGCTCCTTTTGCTCAATATTGTAAGATTAACCCATGTTACTATTGTTGTACGTTGTTCACTGTCATTGCTCTGTGGTGCTCCATTGTTTGACTACGCCATAAATTAATTGATCCTGGTTAGTAGCGATGTGGCCAATTCCAGGCTTTTATTAGTGAGTTACTGTATGGCTCGAATGTCTTAGTCCACTCCAAAATTCATGTTGAAATTAATCTGCAGTACAATTGTGGGGGCCGGCCATGGCCCGGTGGCGTTTGACATTGGAAAAATAACTTCTTCTTCTACCATTAAGGCATCGATACAATCTATGTAACATTTGTTGCTTTTCAAGGACTCTGTTTATTTGGTTTTTCTGAGACAGGGCCTCAGTATATAGATGAGACTGACCTGGAGCTCACTGTGTAATCCAGGTTGGTCTCGAACTCACAGGGATGGGATTACAGGTGTGCACCACCACGCCCAGCTCAAGAACTTTGTTAAATTTGTTTGTTCTTTGACCCTGTGATGGGAGGAACTCTAAGAGACAGCCCAAGATCTGATGTTCTCTGTAAGAGTCAGAAAATCCGGTCTTTGCACACAAATAGTTGCTTGGTGTTTCCTGTTGGTGTGCCTTTAAAAAGAGCTGTTTCTGTAAAATAAATCAGACTTCTCTTGGTCTCCACTCAGGCTTGAGTGTTCTTTCCTTTCTCAATCCTCACTCCCCAACTCAGGCATGTTCGTGTGTGTTGTGACGGCTGGGCCGCCACATACAATATTACTAAGAGATAAGGCCACAGGGCATGGTGGTGCGTGCCTCTACTCCCAGCACTTGGGAGGCTGAGGCAGGAGGATCGCTGTAATTTCGAGACCAGCCTGGGCTACTTAGTGAGTTCCAGGTCAGTCTCAACTACATAGTGAGACCCTGTCTCAAAAAAATAAAAAGAGAGATAAGACCATTAGAAAGTGATGAGGTTGGGCTGGGGATTTAGCTCAGTGTTGCCACCACCTACCTCACAAGTGCAAGGTCCTGAGTTCAAGCCCCAGTACCAAAAAAAAAAAAAAAGTATAGTGAATGTTTAAATTTAAAAAACAATTACTCCAGGAAAAGAAACATTGCCATTAATCTCCCTCACAATATTCCACCTCACTGCAGAAACACGCACCGCATCCTTCTGGCCACTCTCTGAAGAGGTTCTGGAAGTCCCCACTTGTGAGTGTCTTTAGTTGTACTGTCATGGCTGCCTCAAATGTCCCGCAGAGGTCCAGGACATTTATCTTTCCTTTCATGGTCCTCTGGACCAGATCTGGTGAATGAGGTGGACGCGGACGCACCACAATGTTTTAACTTGACAGAAATTGCCACAGATATTTGAACAATGAAGGGTGACCAAAAAACATGAAGGTTTAAATTTTAAGAATTTATTACAGTAAAAGTCGCATAGCCATTAATCACCCTCAAACTACTCTCCTTTGCTTCCAACACTCTTATCCTATCATTCTTGGCAGTGCCTTTTACTGTAATAAGTTTTTTTTAGCCTCTTAGTTTTTGATCGCCCCTGTACCATAAAGTATGTAGCCTTTTAAGATTGGCTTCTTTCTCTTAGCAATATGTATTTAAAGTTCCTTTGTGTCTTTTCCTGGCTTCATAGCTTATCTCTTTTTTACCTCTGGATAAGATTCCATGCTCTGGATGCACCAGTTTATCTATTCAGTTACCGAAAATCCTAGTACTTTCCAAGTTTTGTCAGCTAAGAATGAAACTGCTATAAAGGTCCCTGTGCAGGTTCCTGTGGGGACATAGTTTCAGCTTATTTGGGTAAAAACCAAGGAGTGCTATTGCTGAGTTTTATGGTAAGGACATTTTAGTTTGGGGGAAGAAAACCCACAAAACTCTTCCCGAGTGGCTGCACCGTTTGCATTCTCACCAGAAGTGAATGTGCGATCCTGTTGCTCCACAGCCTCACCAGCTTGCCGTGTCGTCGGGGCTGAGAATCTGGACAATTCTAATAGGTGTCTAGTAGGTGTGAAGAGGTATCTCACTGCTGTTTTCATTTGCAACCCCCTAATGTAAAGATCTTTTTTATGTTCTTCATTATCTGTGTATCTTCTTTGGTAAGGTGTTTGTCAAAGTCTCTTGTCCGGTTTTTAATCAGGTTGTTCTTTTTTTTTATTGTTGAGTTTTAAGAGCTCTTTATATATTTTACAAAATAATCCTTTATCGTATGTGTCTTTTGCCCATATTTTTCTCATTTATGACTTGTCTTACCCTTTTGACATGGTTTTTTAAAATTTATTTATTTTTTGAGACAAGGTCTTGCTATGTAGTCTATGCTAGCCTTGAACTCATGGCGATCCTCCTGCCTCAGCCTCCCAAAGGCTGGGATTACAGGCGTGAGCCAACAAGCATAGCTTTGACATTGTCCCTTTTTAGAGTGGAAGTTTTAAATTTTTAATGAAGTCCAGAGTATCCATCATTTTCTTCAAGGATCACAGCTTTTGTGTTGTATGTAAAGCATCATCCCCGCACTCAAGATCGTCTTGGTTACTTCCTGTGCTATCTTCTAGAAGTGTTTTGGTTTTTACACTTTACCTTTAGGTCTGTAATACACTTTGAGTTAATTTTTATGAAGATGTAAGGTCTATATTTAGATTTATTTTTTTTCCTCATGTGGATGTCCAGTTTTTCCAGCTCCGTTTGTTGAAAAGGCTATCTTTGCTTCAATGCTGCCTTTGTTCCTTTGCAAAAGATCATATTTATGCAGGTCTATTTCTGGGCTTTCTATTCATTTCATTAATGTATTTGTCTGTTCTTTCACCAATGCCATGCCATCTTGATTATTGTGTAGCTTTATTAATCTTAAAATTAAATAATGTCTGACCTCCCATTATATCTCTTCCTTTGATATAAATTGGCTATTCTGGGTCTGTTGCTCTGCATATAAATTTTAAGATAAATTTGTCAATAATCAAAAATAATTTTCTGGGATCTTAATTTGGATTCCATTGAACCTATAAGTCAAGTTTGGAAAAATCAACATTTTGACAATATTAAGTCTTCTTATCCTTAAACATGGATTATCTCTTCATCTATTTAATTCTTGGATAACTTCCACTAGAGTTTTACCATTCTTTCCATATACATCTTTACATATCTTATTAGTTTTACACCTAAGTATGTTTCAGTACTAGTATAAAATAATAAAGTGAGGGTCGGGGATTTAGCTCAGTGGTTCGGTAGCCTGCCTTGCAAGCGCAAGGACCCAAGTTCAATCCCCTGTAGAAAAACAAGAAAAAAAAAGTGGTTTTAATTCCAACTGATTGTCTCAGGTGTTTGTTACAGTAACAGAAAGCTGAGCAACACACACATCTATTGATGTGATCATGTCATTTTTTTCTTCTTTGGACTATTGATATGCTAGGTAGCATTATTCTTTTAATATCTACAGGATCTGTAGTGATGTCCCCTCTTTCATTACTCATATATCTAACTCTTCCGTATGCTTCTTTTTTTGTTTTGTTTTGTTTTTCATTTTGTGAGACAGGGTCTCACTATATAGTTGAGACTGACCTGGAACTCACTATGTAGCCCAGGCTAGTCGTGAACTCACAGCGATCCTCTTGCCTCAGCCTCCCGAGTGCAGGGATTATAGGCATGTGCCACCATACCCGCTGTATGCTTCTTAATTAGCCTTATCAGAGGTTTTATCATTTTTCAAAAAGTTAATATTGTTATTGTGGTAAAATAACACAACAAAATTTACTACCTTAACTATTTTTAAATGCTGCTTGGTGGTATTAATACATTTGTAATGTTGTACAATTGTCACACTAATTCATTTTCAAAACTGAAATTCTGCAGACGTTAAACAATAATGTCTCACTGTCCCTCCCCCCAGCCTCTGGAAACCATCATTATACTTTCTGTGTCTATGATTTTAACTACTCTAACTACCCCATGTGAATGGAATCATTGTGTTTATTTTATTGTGGCTAGTTTGCTTTACTTAGAATAATGACTTAAAACCTATTACCCCAGCACTATTTCTCATAGAGGTTTCTGCTCCAGTGGGTTGTGATTGTCTACCTGCCTATCTGTTTCTCTAATCCAGGAGGCAGTGGTTTCCCAGTGATCAAAGAGGTGTTGCTTTTTCAATTTTTTTCATCTTTTTATCAGTTTTAGGACAGAGTGGCCACTTGTAGCCTCCTTACATGCCAAGAACAAAAACTGACACTTCCTTTTTTGGAAGTGTCTGTTTAGGTCTTTTATCTATTTTTTCTCCTGGGCTATCTTTTTCTGACTTGAAGGATTTTATGAAAAAGGCTTTCATTAGTTATAGAGGTTGCAGTTACTTGCTCCTGCTTTGTGCCTTGCTTTTTCAGTGTCTTTATGGTGCTCTTGGTTGAATGAATCCTTAAAATTTCAATTTAGTAAAATTTACCTATCTCTTCCTTGTAAGACCATTTTTTTAAACCATGATTACAAGATATTTCCTTTCCCAGAGGACTTAAAGAAATTATCCCTTGCTATCTTTCTTTCGTGTGTGTATGTGGCACTGGGGATTGAATCGAGGGCCTTCCACATGCTTGGCAAGTGCTCCACCACTGAGCTACATTCCCAGCTTTTTTTATTTTATTTTGAGACAGGGTGAGCCCAGGCCGACTTTGAACTTGTAACCCTCCAGCCTCAACCTCCTGAGTAGCTGGGATTACAGGCATGTGCCACCACTCTCAGCCTCTTTCACTGTCTTCTAAATATTTTCATATTGTATTTGTTACTTGTTTTTTGAGACAGGAACGCACTGTGTACTTCGGGCTGGTGTCCAACTCACTATGTAGCCCCGGCTGGCCTCTAACTTTCAGCAATCCTCCTGCCTCAGCCTCTGAGTGCTGGGATTCCAGGTGTGCACCACCACGCCCCGCTTCGTTATTGTTTATAGCTAGATGTGCCCCACAAACCTCATGTGGCTCCTGACTAGATGTTAGGAGGCGGTGCCTGATAAGAGGCGATCGCTGGGGGTGACCCGGAAGGGCATTATCTCCCTCCCAGGTTCCCAGCCACCACGTCAGGAGCTGCTCCTCCCTCACGATGTCCCTTGGAGCTGGCCAACCACTGCCTGTCACTGTGAGCCAAAATAAACCCCTCATCCTTTGTAGCTGTCAAGTATTGTGTCCCAGTGACGAGGAAAGTGACTGAGACAACACTTGCGTAGGATATTTGTAGAAATGGCATAATAGGTAACCCAAAAACCTGTTCCTTTATCAAAGCAACGAGCGGCAGAACCCATCAGAATTGGCTCCTGCGGAGCTCCGGAAGCTAACCAGATGCTTCAGCAACCAGGCGAAGGCTTGATCAAGGAGGTAAAAACAAAAACGCCCAACAGCTGAATCTCACTCAGAGGACCTTTTGTGGTTTTTGACCTGATGCCAGCCGCGTTCTCCAGATCAGCCGAGCTTTGATGACAAAGCCTGCACTCCCAGGACCAGTAGAGAGAGCAAGCAGAGGTGACCTCATTCCCAAAATTAAAATTATTTATTTCGACTTCTTTGATGGCAAGAGAACTAGCAAAAAGGATTTGCCTTTCACTTCACTGGGAACTGTCTCGGGGTGAGGTTGATAGTGGTAGGGGTGTGTGTTTATTAGAAACATTTGGCAAAAACAATGGCTTGATCCAAAAGCATTACAGGTAGCCTGGGAAGTGAGATGCTTTGCGAAATAAATTTTTAAATTTAGGAATCGCCACGTGTGGTGGTGCACGCCTATAATCTGAACACTTGGAGGCTGAGGCAGTAGGATCTCAGTGAGTTTGAGGGCAGCCTGGGCTAAATAATGAGTTCAAGGCCAGAATGAACTACATAGCAAGATCCTGTCTCAAAAAAAATTTTAAATTATACATTATTTATCCTGACAGTAACACTTTGCTTGTGTGAAATCTTCAGATAATTCAGGAATGAATTTTAAAAATAAAAGTCTTATTCCCCCATACCTAAAATAATTTTAATAGGCAAGTAGTATTTTATTGTGTAGAAAAATGCCGTAACTTATTTAACCAGTTCCCTGTAAACATTTAGCCTTTAAGTTTCTTCCTTTATTGTTTTTATTATAATGTACTGAATTTTTTTATAACAGCACTTGCACATTCTTGTTTATTTCCTCTATTTACTAAGATTTTAAAGGGCTGGGGATTTAGATCAGTGGTTCCGCCGCCTGCCTCGCAAGCACAAGGGCCTGAGTTCAATCCCCAGTACCAAAAAAAAAAAAAAAAAAAAGATTTTAATACCCTTGTAATTATTGGGATGGTATAAAAATTCAGAAATTTGCTGGTCATGGTGCATGACTGTAATTCCAACACTCTAGGATGCTGAGGCAGGAGGATCACAAATTCAAACCCAACCTGGGGAACTTAGTGTCTTAGTGAGGCTCTTTCTCAAAATATAAAGTAAAAAAATTTTAAAGGGCTAGTGATGTACAAAGGTTCTGGGTTTGACGTTCAGTATCCCCCAATTTTTTCCCACAAATTATAAAACTCCTTTTATCTGAGGCATTTGGAGCCATTAGATGGCTAAATGATAGTAAAGCAAGAAGTCATTTAACAAGAGAAATTATATGAGTGAGTCTGGTGATGCCAGTGTTATTTAAAATGTTGCAGAGCATGACAAGGGAATATAATGTCTAGTTATTTTTTATGAATCCCACATAGCATTATAGCATTGAGAACAATGTGCAGCGATGATCACACACACACACACACACACACACACACACACACACACACACCCTTGCTTACATTTTTCTCCACTGCGGCTGCTGCCTGAGCAAGCTGCAGCTGTGGGAAGGGCTCCCTGGGAGAGGGACAGGTTGTTTGCAGATGGTTCCCTTGCACCTCTCTCTGCAGCTCTCCCCTTCTCACCCCAGCCCCATAAGAAATGCACGATTTGGAAGCAACACCAGGAAACGAGTTCTCTCCCCTTCCTAAGGCTGGCTTCCTTGCTTTAAGTATCTTGCTCACTGTCCACATGCCTCGGCAGCCGCTTCTGAGGTGTCAGCGTTCTGCCTGAGCCTACTCTCCCACCATGAGCCCAGTCATCTACTAAATGCTTTTGATGTTATTTGTGCAACCAGAAACCCTTTCCAGGAAGATCCCTCCTCTCCTATTTTGTGAGGTCCTGTTTGAAGTAAGGGTTTCAAAAAGCTCTTATGTACCCCTGGGAATCAAGAGGACGAGTCCATGTCCAGGGCTAGGTGCGTGTTCAGGAAGGACAGGAGTAGGCCCTGAGCCCTCAGCCCTGCACAGCTCCAGTCTCTGTGCAAGAAGAAACTGGATACAACATTTTAATTGCTAACAAAGTATCTCATACTTGGTATAACTTGAACAAATTCTTCCTATTTCACAGTATCTATATACATTTTAGTCCTTATTTACGCTTACAGTTTCTCATACCAGAGAGACAATGCGATATTTAAACATGTATGTTTGATTTATTTCACTTAAGAGTATGGTCTCAAGATGCATCCATTCACCCAGAAATGTCTCAAGTTTATCCTTCGTGGCTGGGTAGTACTATATCTATATAACCCATATCTTTTTTATCCATTCATTCGTTGATGGGCATTTGGGCTGTTTCCAAGATTTAGCTATTATAAACTGTGCTGCTATAAGCATGGGTGCACATATATCACTGTGGCATGATGCAAAAAAAAGTATGTATTATTAAGAAATGAGTTGAGAGATAGATTAGCAAGTGGAAATATGTTCTTTTAAGATCATGATCCATAGTATATTTACACTGTTATTCTCTAATTATTTTTGTTATGAAAAATTGTTTTTTCACGGACTGGCTTTTTAATATTTTCCTTATTAATAGCTACTTGTATTACATTAAAATAAAGTTTTTAAAAAGAAGAAACTGGAGACCAGGGCAGAGCTGTAAGGTGCCTAGATGAGTTCAGAAGGCATGCCATAGTGCACACCACACACACACTTGCACAGCCTGTCTGCAAAGGCTAGCAGATTTTTGTTTCTTCTATTTAAAGAAATCTCTGTTCATGGGCTGGGGATTTAGCTCAGTGGTTCTACTGCCTGCCTCGCAAGCTCAAGGTCCCGAGTTCAATCCCTGGTACCAAAAAACAAAACAAAAAAATAAATCTCTGTTCAATAACTAGCTGATCACAAAGCTAAGAGAATACAGAAGTCAGTGGCCATAGACAACAACAATAAAAATACATAGCTCAGAAATTAGTTTAGAAAAGGCACTAAATACAGGCCAGGGATTTAGCTCAGTGTTGCTGCCACCTGCCTTGCAGGCACAAGGGCCTGAGTGCCATCCCCAAGACCAAAAAAAAAAAAAAAAAAAGAAAAAAGAAAAAAGGCACTAAACAAACCATAAAGACAACTACAACAAAAAGAAACAATAAACTCTCAGGATAGCAAGAATATGACTTCTAGCACTACCACAGCATAATATTAAAACATCCAGTTTCTTTCTTTTTTTTTTTATACCAGGGATTGAACTCAGGACCTTGCATTTGCAAGGCAGGTGCAGCGGTGCCACTGAGCTAAATCCCTAGCTCAAAACATCCAGTTTCTAACAAAACATTATAAGGCAAGAAAGGAAATAAGAAAATATGGCTCATAGGTAAGAAAAATGGCAATGAATAAAAATTGTCCCTGAAGAATCCCAAACATTATGAGGCAGGTGGCGGAACCACTGAACTAAATCCCTGCCCAAACATTAATTTAAATTTTTTTGTGGTATTAGAAATTCAGTGCAGGGTCTTCAAGCTAAGCTACATTCCCAGTCTTTTTTTTTTTTTTTTTTTTTAAGGCAAGGTCTCATTAAGCCACTAAAATTGCCCAGGCTGGGCTCAAACTTCTGATTCTTCCCAGAGTGTTGAGATTACAGGTGTGCACCATAACATCTCGTTTGGATTTCCTTTTAAAAGATTTTAAATTAACAATTAAAAGGGCCAGGGATTTAGCTCAGCGGTTCTGGGTTCTGCCGCCTGCCTTGCAAGCATAAGGACCCAAACTCCAGTAAGAAAAAAAACAAAATAAATTAACAATTAAAATACGCTCAAATAATTTAAAGGTACAACTCGGGAAGCTGAGGCAGGAGGATTGCTGTGAGTTCGAGACCAGCCTGGGCTACATAGTGAGTTCCAGGTCAGTCTCAACTACATAGTGAGACCCTGTCTCAAAAAACAAACAAACAACAAATCAAAGGTACAATATACAAAGATCTAAAAGAAACTGTGTTAGTGACATCTCACAAGCAGACAATATCAACAAATAGAAGTTGTAAGTCAAGTAGAAGTTTTGAAGTTGAAAAGTAAAAGAAGTGACATTAGACGTTCACTAGAGGTACTCAGTATCAGATCTGAGCAGGTAGAAGAAAGATTCGGTGAATTTGAAGATAGGTCAACGGAGAATACTCACTCGGAGGAGCATTTAAAATATATATATATATATCTATATATATATAGATACATATAGATAGATATATATATATATAGATAGATAGATATAGATAGATTAATATATATATATATATATCTATATATATAGATACATATAGATAGATAGATAGATAGATAGATAGATAGATAGATAGATAGATAGAAAAAGGAGCAGAGCCTGAGAGGACACCATCAAGCATAACATGAGCATAAGAGTGCATAAGAACAGAGAAAAGAGCAGAAAGAATACTTGAAGAAATAGTGGGCAAACACTTCCTGAGTTTGATGGAAAAGAGTAATCTATGCATCGAAGAAACTCCAAGTGAAATGCACATTGCAACACATTATAATTGGTTGAAAGCCAGAGAGTTGTGAAAGCAACAAGAGAAGCCACTTTTCACAAACAGGGAATGCTGAATAAGATTAACAGCTGTTTTTTTATTGATATATGTTTTCAATAGGTCAGATTTACATTTGTTTTGAGCTGTTGGTGCATATATACAACATATCGTAAATCATTTTTAATCTCTGCCCTACCCCTTCTATTGCTTTTTCCCTTATCTCCTCTCCCTACTCCAAAACATATTCCTTTACTTTACACTTTAATTTATTTATAATTGGGTTTCTCGTATGAGAGGAGCTATACAATATTTAACTTTCCATGTCTAACTATTTCATCTAACATTATGCTCTCTAGATCCATCCATTTTCCTGAAAATGACTTGAATTCACCTTTCTTTATGGTTAAATAAAATTCCATTGTGTGTGTATATATATGCTACACTTTTCAAATCAATTCACCCGTGGATGGGCATCTAGGCTCTTTCCAGAGCTTAGCTACTGTGAATTGTGCTGCAATGAACATGAATATGTATGTATCACTGTAGTATGATGTCTTTAATTTTCAGGAATATACCCAAGAAAGATAGAGCTGGGTCAAATGTAATTTCAATGTTTAGTTTTTAAAGGACTCTCATACTGATTTCCACAGTGGTTGTACTAGTTTACATTTCCACCAACAGTGAAGAAGGTCCCCTTCCCCCACATCCTCATCAACGTTTTGTTCTGTTTTGTTTTGTTTTTTGGTACCTGGGATTGAACTCAGGACCTTCTGCTTGCAAGGCAGGCAGTGGAACCACTGAGCTAAATCCCTGGCCCTATCACCAACATTTTTATTGACAGCCACTCTGATTGAGGTAAGATGGAATCTCAGAGTTGTTTTGATTTTCATTCCTCTACAGCTAAAAATGATTAACATTTTT